AAAAACGAAACAAATACATCAGAGAGATAGCAGCAACATTAGGAGTGGCCAAATCAACAGTTTGGTACAGAGGAAAGTAGAACGCACTGGTGAGCTCAACAACATAAAAAGGCATGGACATCCAAGGAAGACAACAATGGTGGATGATCTCAGGATCCTCTCTATGGTAAAGAAAAACCCATTCACAACATCCAGACAAGTGAAGGACACTCTCCAGGAGGTGGGCGTATCATTGTCAAAGTCTACAATCAAGAGAAGACTTCACGAGAGCAAATACAGAGGGTTCACCACAAGGTGCAAACCATTCATAAGCCTGAAGAATAGAAAAGCCAGATTAGACATTGCAAAAAAAGCATTTAAAAAAGCCAGACCGGTTCTGGAAAAGCATTCTTTGGACACATGAAACTAAGATTAATCTGTACCAGAATGATGAGGGGGGGGGGAAAAAAAAAAAAAAAAAAAAAAGGGTGTGGAGAAGGCGTGTATTAGCTCATGATCCAAAGCACACAACATCATCTGTAAAACATGGTGGAGGCAGTGTGATGGAATGGGCATGCATGGCTTCTAGTGGCACTAGGTCACTGGTGTTTATTGATGATGTGACAGAAGACCGAAGCAGCCGGATGAATTCTGCAGTGTTTAGAGATATACGGTCTGCACAGATTCAGCCAAATGCAGCAAATATGATTGGATGGCAGTTCACAGTACAGATGGACAATGATACAAAACACACTGCAAAAGCAACCCAGGAGCTTTTGAAGGAAACAAAGTTTAATATTCTATAATGGCCAAGTCAATCACCTGATACTTGCACTTGATATTTATGTTCAACCCCTTTAATTAAAGTTGAAAGTCTGCACTTCAAATTCATTTGGATTGTTTCGTTTTAAGTCATCCTGGTGGCATACAGAGCCAAAAGTATGAAAATTGTGCCTGTGTCCACATATATATATATATATATATATATATATATATATATATATGGACCTAACTGTATATGTAGGTCAAGGTCTAGAATGAAGTGCCTCAGGACTGCTACAAGTACAGAAAGTTTATACTTTGGTGCAGAGGAAGGTAATAGTATTTGTAGAACAGATTCTCAGGGACATATTAGTCATTGGGAAGGTGGAGGTAAATCAGGGCAGTCCTAATTTGTGTGATATAAGTGTGGAGTAAAGATTACTGTACAGAGTGAGAGGGGGCTCTATAGTACACCAAATTTTTTTTGAGGGGGTCCACCAGTGGCATAATTGGTCTAGGACACGGCTTTAAAATAATGACCAATATTGGGTACACACTTACCACCATTCCGTCTATGGCTCATCATTCTGCTAAGGGAGCATCTAGTTCAGGGATGTCAAACTGCAGCCCTCCGTCTGTTCTGGAACTACAAATCCCATGACGCATTGAAGGGATAATCAGTTAACAGCATGACTCCCAAAGGCAGAGGCATGATGGAACTTGTAGTTTCTCAACAGCTGGGAGGGACGTCATAGGGTTAGATACAATGAGCATGACATCGTCCGAATACTTTACTTTTATGTTCAGGGCCAGACAGGGAGTGGCCTGCAACACAAGGGTGTGACCTAATTTGCTCTTCCATTGGTTCTATAAGCAGTGTAAAGATGATAGGTGAAAGGGGGAACCTGCCTTGTGCCATTGGAGATTTGATTTGTTTTAGACAATATACCTGAAGCAAGTACATTCGCCAAGGGGATGAACAGATGGATAAGATAGCAGACTGCAACCAATCAGTGATTCCAAATTTATAGAGAACTTAAACTTTAATGAACCCCCAGTGAGTTCTGTCAAATCCCTTCTCAGTTTCCAAAAAGAGGAACAGAGAAGGGGTTCACGAGAGTCCAGCTTGTGTAATGAGGTTTATTAGCCGTCTAGTTAGATCTGGGGCTTGGTGTCTTGGGACAAATCCCACTTTGTCTGACTGAATTAGAAAGACCAGTAGATGTTGAAGTCTGAGAGCAAGAAATGTACCAAAGATTATAACATCAGTGTTAAGAAAAGATACAGGTCTAAAATTTGCATTAACAGCGGAGTCCTTGATAGGTTTGGGAATGGGCACAATTACAGCATGTAAAACTTCAGGAGGAAGAGAGCCAGAGTAAGTGGCTAAGTTGAAGACCAATAACATACAGTATATGGGGCAACTAGATCAGATAGCTTTTAATATTTGTTGGAAAAACCATCTGATCTACGGGATTTATAGTTAGGCAACAATTTGGTGGAAGAAGTAGGTTGGAGCGTTATTGGATCGCAGATCATACAGTGATTGGTAGTAGCATTAGCTATGTCCCTTGGATTCATGAGCTTACTCTGTGTCACAGGGTAATAAAAGGATAAAGAAGATTTTCTGCTTAAGTTTTTTCATTTTAACTTTGTTGGCCAACCAAGTGCCTGTGCTATTACGGAGACCATACGTACTGGCTTTAGAATACTGTAGATGGTTTTCGTATTTGTATAGGAGTACATTTTTCAATTGTTGCCTACCTTGAGAAATATCTGAAATCTGGATTAATGGTGGGGCTTTTGCTTAGTAATCGGAATGTATCAATTCACCAAGGTAGAATGACGAGCGATTGAGTTCACAAATGTGGATGATAAAGTGACCTTGAGGGTTAGAAATATCTTTAATGGGGTTGAAGACTGAATTTTTTTGGTTCAATAAGTATTTATTAGCGTTTACATGTTAACAAAAATGCAACACAGTAAAATACAATAAAAATAAAGCAAAAATCAGGGATACAGAATTAAAAAAAAGGGGTGAGGGGTGAGGACAGGGGCAGTCCCTTGTAGGCATCAACAGTAACAGAAAACAGTAGGGCAGCCAGGGCCCCCAGAGTCCGTAAAGGCCAGACAGAGCTCTGTGGACACATCAAGGCGTTACTGCTCTGCAATCCTTGCATATTAGAACGGGGCACCTGCAGGATTACTTTCCGGCGTCGCAACATGGAGGGGAAGAAAAAAAAAGGGGGGGAGGCAGTTGGAGAAGTGGAAGGTGTCAGAAGAGAGGGAAAAGGGGGTTAGGTGAGAAGAAAAGAGGAAATAGCAGAGAAGAGTATAGGGTGGAAAAAGAGAGAAGGGTGGTACCTCGGAGAGTGGTACAACCCAATGACTTAGTCCTGCAACAGTGAGAGGAAAAAAATTAAATATAGTCATAGATGCAGTGTTCTAAAATCGGATTTGCAATGATCTATCCATGGAGATCATATCTTCAAGAACTTGTCCTGCTCATCATCCGGTATGGCTGTTCATTTTTCATTGACCATGAAGCTAGTCAGGCGATGTTTGACTTCATGGAAGCTGAGAATGTAGTAGCGATAAACAAGAATGTGATCAATTTAGCATGTTTTTAATGAATTTCTTGTATGAGTTTAAGCAATAGCGTCCTCAACTAGGTCGTTTTGCAAGTTATAGTGGAGAAGTGTGTCCAACAAGGAATACACCCTGATCCAGAGCCTGCACACTCTCAAACAGGTCCAACAGATATGGGCCATTGTGCCCTCTTGTCCACACAAAAAAGCCGAGAGGGGAGTGGCCTGGTACAAATTTAGAGATATGGGCAGGTGTAAGATACCAACGCATACGTACTTTATATGAGTTTTCAAGAGCAATTACATTTCTCGAGCAGGTGGCTGTGGACTCCCAAATAGCCTTCCAGTCTTCTTCTGAAATGGTTGCTCCTACGTCTCACTCCCAGTTCATCATATACATTGTTTTTTAGGTGGATGTGGGAGAATTGTGGCTGGAATATAAGCGTGAGATAAGGTCTAGAGAGTGTGGATCTGCACAACATTTACTTTCAAACAATGCAAGTGTAAAGGGGGCGAGTTTGTTTAAAAAGAGGGAGTGGACAAAATGTCTGAGTTGGATGTAACAAAAGATTTCCCCTGATGGCGCGTCATGTGTGTTATGGAATAAATCAAAGGATACCTTTAAAATTTAGCAGAGAATAGACGTCAGTAAATCCTTTTTTGGGGAACAGAGGGCAGTTTATCAGGCTCAACAATGGAAGATAAGGAGATAGAAGGCCACCAGAGTATTTGACAAAGTCCCAAACTTTAAGAGAATGGGTCAAGGAAGGAGTTAGAGAAGGCAGGCGTGGTGGGGGGGATGGTAGCCATAGCAAGGATTTATAGGCCGTGTTATGCAGTCAATTTTGTCCAGCAGTGCGCATATAAGGATTTCAGTAGTAGCGTGGAATTTGGTTAACTGGACCAATTGAGCTGCCTTATAATAATGAAGGCGGCGCAGAGTTCCCAATCCTCCCTGATACTTATGTCTATACAGTACAGACCTGTTAATACAGGGCCTGGTGGAATGCCAGATAAATGAAAGAACTTTGTTTTGTAGGACACGCAGCACCATTGGTGGGACATGGACAGGTAAAATTCAAAAGTAGTAGAGGCGCTTGAGCAGAAAGGACATCTTAACTGCATTTAAACGGCCTATCCAAAAAATAGGAAGTGGAGACCAAGAGCGAAGAAGGGAGACAAGAAATTTGAAAATGGGGGGATAATTTGCCTGATATAGAGTATCATAAGAGGGTGTCAGGTGAACCTAAAGATAGGGGAGCTTGGTGGTACAAGTAAAGGGAAATGAGGATTGCAAGGATGCCAGAGTAGAAGAGGATAGAGAAGCATCCATGGCCTGAGATTTTGAATGGTTAATTTTGAGGCCGGAGAAGGACGCAAAGTCAGTGAGGACCCAGAATAGACTTGGAACAGAGATCAGTGGGGACATGATGGTGAAAAGAATGTTGTCAGCAAAGAGTGATAGCTTTCCATGAATAGTTCCCTTTTTAACTCCTTCAACCACCTCCCGCCCACCATATAGTACAATGACGGGCGCAAGGCGGTTCTCTCGTTCTGGGAGAACGTCATAGGACATCCTCCCATTCTAACCACGTATGCGCGGCTCTGGTAGCGCGGCGATCGGACAAAGCGGATCACCGATCAACAGAAAGAGCCAAAGATGTCGGCTTGGTCATGTGATCAGCTGTGTCTAATCACAGCTGATCGCATGTAAATAGGAAAATGACGGTTATCGCCATTTCTCTCCTCACGAGCTGTCGCGCTGACAGCTCAAGAGGAGAGGCGGTAATCGACATCCCTCAGAGGGGACATGTACACTGATCATCAGGGCACTGATGATCAGTGTGCCCTGATGATCTGTGTAGCCCCAGCAGTGCAACCTGTCAGTGTCCATCAGTGCCAGCTGTCAGTGCTCATCCATGCCACCTGCCATTGCCCATCAGTGCCACATTTCAGTGCCTAACAGTGCACATCAATGCCACATATCAGTGCCCATCTGAGATGCCTTTCAGTGTCACCCAGTGCCACCTATCAATGCCAGTCAGTGCCGCCTATCAGTGCCAGTCAGTGCCGCCTATCAGTGCCAGTCAGTGCCCCGCCTATCAGTGCCCATCAGTGCTGCCTTTCAGTGCCCATCAGTGATGCCTGTCAATGCCCATCAGTGCCACCTACCAGTGCCTCATCAGTGCCCATCACTGCAGCCTCATTAGCGCACATCAGTGAAGGAGAAAAATCACTTATTTACAAAATTTTAAAACAAAAACTAAGAATTTTTTTTTTTTTTTTTTTCACAATTTTCAGTGGTTTTTGGTTTGTTTAGGAAAAAATAAACCCAGAGTGATTAAATACCATTAAAATAAAGCTCTGCCACAAAAAAATGATAAAAATTTCATATGGGTACAGTGTTTCATGACCGCACAATTGTCATTCAAAGTGCAACAGCGCTGAAAGCTGGAAATTGGCCTGGGCAGGAAGGGGGTATAAGTGCCCTGTAGGCTAGTGGTTAATGTCCACACAAGCATGTATAGCTATTGCCAATGGTTCGAGAGCAAGGATAAACAAAAGAGGAGATAAGGGAACCAGGGAGATTGAAATCCAGAGTATCGGACAGAAGCAGAGGGAGTTGAATAAAGTGCCATGAGCCAGTTTAGACAGGACTCCCATCATTTGAGAGTGTAAAACAGATATGGCTATGATAGGGTATCCAAAGCCTTTTCTAGATCGATTGAAAGGAGCATGAGTTCTTGCTTTTTATGCCGTGCAGTATGGAGCAGGTTCAGGACCTTCCTAATATCTTCAAATTGTCATAGGGGAACAAACCTGTTTGGTTTCGATGTATAACAGAACCAAGGCCAGAGTTTAATCTGTGGGCCAGAATCCTAAGAAGCTGAACGTCAACATTAAGGACTGAGATAGGTCTGTAACTTGACCAAGAGTGAGGGTCCTTGTTGGGTTTCGGAAGCATTACTACTTGTGCTTGGAGAATAGTGGAAGGTGCCGACGCAGAGGTTCTAATTTCATTGAACACAATCGCCAGAGAAGGGCTGAGAAGATCCACACATTTATTATAAAACAGGGCTGAAAAGCAATCAGGGCCTTGGCTTTTCCCAGTTTTCAAAGTTTTTATCACAGCTTCGACTTCCTCAGGAGTGATTGGGGCTTCCATTCTGGAGGCCAGAGAATCTGAAATACACAGTAGCTCAAACCTCACAAAGAAAGTCTCAGCTGCCGCAGCAACAGGGGGGGGCAGGACCAGAATATAGTTTTGCTAACTGCTCCTTGAATTCTTCCACTATTTTCAGGGGGTTACTAGTGCCTACACTAGTATGGGTGTGTAGGCAGACAGTGTAGTGGACTGGAATGAAACAACAAAACTGGATTCGCCAGTGGGTTGTCAGGCTTATTGCCCTTGCTGTAAAAGAGTTGTTTAGATCAGCGCATCATGCGTTCAGTTTGGTTCATGAGTACCACGTCGAGATCAGTGAAAATTTTTTCGAGGGTGTGCAAGTTCATTTTTGTGAGGTGAGACTTAAATAGGGCAGTCCTATTTTTTTGTTTATTTACCATTTGCCTACTGGGCATTAATACCCCCTTCCTGCCCAGGCCAATTTTCAGCGCTATCACACTTTGAATGGCAATTGTGCAGTCATGCAACACTTTACCCATATGAAATTTTTATAATTTTTTTCACACAAATAGAGCTTTCTTTTCGTGGTATTTACTTGCCGCTGGGTTTTTTATTTTTTCTGCGCTATAAACAAAAAGCAAAAAATTAAGAAAAAAAATTCTTTGTTTCTATTATAAAATTTTGCAAACAGGTAATTTTTCTCCTTCACTGATGTGCGTTGATGAGGCTGCACTGATAGGCAGCATTGAAAGGCAGCATTGAAAGGCAGCACTGATGAGCAACGATGGGCACTGACGGCACTGATGGGCACAGATGAGCAGCACTGGTGAGTGGCACTGCTGGGCACTGATCATCGGTGCCCTGATCGGTGCCGATCTGTTCTCTGACAACTGCCAATTATCGGCAGTACTTTCCTCACGCTGTGGCAGCGTGAGAAAAGTGCAGCTGATAACCGGCAAATTCATTTACCAGTTGGACACAGCTGATCACATGGTAAAAGACCGCTGTGATTGGCCTTTTACCACATCACGTGATCAGCTGTGTCAGTAAGACACAGCGATCATGGAGATCACCGGGTGCGCGCCCGAGGGCACGCGGGAGGGCGTGTTTGGGGAGGACGTAATATGACGCCCTCCCAAAACTGGACAACCACGCTGTAGCCGTCATTTGGCTATAGCACAGTTGGCAAGTGGTTAATAAACCTTTTTATTCAATTTTTCACAAACAAAACAACATCGTGTACATAACAGAGCAATGGGGCAGTCCCCAGCTCAAAGTTAAAGTCTAACAGAGAACTAACAGAACATTTTAGAACATTTACTATCAAACAGTAGCGAACACCTCTGCTCAATCCACTACAAACAGACACATGGTGTTACCATAGAGTTATCTCTGCCACATTACCAAGTTATAATACCATTAGAAAATTTCAACATTACTCCCACCCTTCTGTGAAAAAAACTCCCTCACGTGATTAAAAACAAGACCGTTATGACCATCACAACGCTAATGTGCTTGGTATGATGCGTTAGTGAAAGAAGACTGCACCCAAATATTCCAAACTTTATGAAACTTAAGACAGCCTTGGGACTCATATGTGGCTTTGTATAGAGGGATGGATGTATTTACTAGGTACTTCCTGAATTCAAGAGAAAGTGTCTCCAGTAACCTCCACCTCAGCACTATTGCCTTTCTTGCATAGAACAGGATGCGGCCAACGAGAGTCCTGGCTGCTCGCCCAAAAGCCAACTGACCCAGCACCATGAGCAAGCAGACCTCCAGAGTCAGTGGGTAGTCAGTAGGTATAGTGGTCAGATGAGAGATGAATATCGTAACATCTTTCCAAAACCTGTGAATCTCAGGGCAGGTTCAAAACATATGCATAAAGACAGCATCTGGTTGGGTACATTTCCAGCAATGAGGGTAGGCTCCTGGATAGATTCTATTCAAACTCTGGGGCAAGTAATATCTTGAAATGTATAAGCTTGTCCTTGACCGCTACTAGTTGCTGAAAAGGGTACGCGCGGAGCAAAGGTAAGTGAATTGACACAGGGGGGACTTGGGGACTTAATATGGGGGATGAATTACGCCCTCAAATGCAATGATTGGCCAGTCTCGCTACAACTCACATCCTGATAGCCAGTGATTGGCTGTCAGGATGTGTGTAGGCGGGGCAGCGTGACGAACGTGAGAGGAGCTAGGCTCCTCTCACAGTCTGCCCTGAAGACCGGAACGGCGCGGGAACACGGCGAGAAGAACGCGCGGAGCAAAGGTAAGTGAATTGACACAGGGGGGACTTGGCTTACTACTTGCTACTTACTTACTACTACTATATGAGGGATGAATTAATATGGGGGATGAATTACTATATGGGGGATGAATTACTATATGGGGGATGAATTACTATATGGGGCATGAATTACTATATGGGGCATGAATTACTATATGGGGCATGAATTACTACGGGGCATGAATTACTATATGGGGGCATGAATTACTATATGGGGGCATGAATTACTATATGGGGGATGAATTACTATAGGGGGGATGAATTACTATAGGGGGGATGAATTACTATAGGGGGGATGAATTACTATAGGGGGGATGAATTACTATAGGGGGGATTAATTACTATGCTTACTATGGGGGAATATTACTATATACTTACTATGGAGACACATACACATAATTCATCTACTCTTGGTCCGGCCCCCGGGTCCAATATATGAACCCATTGCGGCCCTCAAGTCAAAAAGTTTGCCCACCCCTGCTCTAGGGCCAGGCAGGTCGATCCAAACTGAGAAGAAAAGGCATGCCAAATCTGAAGGTACTGGAAAAAGTGAGTGTTCGGCAAACCAAACCTCAACTTTAGGGCATCAAAGGACCTAAGCTTACCTCCCTCACAGATGTGCTCCAAGGTTTTAATTCCATGAAAGGCCCACGCCCTGGGATCTGGAATGGATTGTAACGCAGGAAGTCTTGGATTGAGCCAAAAATGATTTTTTTTATTTTTTATTTTTTGCCAGTTTTGGAAACAAAGGGATCCATTTCTTAATGAATTTCACATTCTGAGTTCAAATATAACAATTAAATTTGTCAATTGGCTCTAGTTTTTCTGTAAACGGAAAGTTTTCTACTATAGGCGTAATGACTACATAATGCACAATAATTATACAGTATAGATCGATGTCTTTCCACAATTATAAAGCAAGTGATATTGACTACATAACAAAGCCTAAATGGCATAATATATTGCATAGGATTACCAAGAAAAATTATAGCCATAAGCTAAGTTGAATCATTTTAATACTTCTCACTAGGATTCTCACTAGTTTTGTCTTCAGTTTGTGTCGGTTTTGCTTCTCTTGGCTTTTCTCTTGTATTCGAGGAAAGGGCTCTCTCTTACAACTGCACGTGACTACACGCTTCAGGTTCTTCCTCACTTGACTCAACCAGGAAGGATTCTGGTGCTTTAGAAATTGGTAGCCCCTCTCCATGAGGAACTGGGCGTATTGCCGATGGAATATTTGGATAGTGCACAGATAACTTTTTCTTCGTATTTAGCCCTTTTACAATTGGAGGCACCATACAAAATAACAATTACTAACATGATCTGTTGGCTCTCTCCAAATCATTGGCACAGCGAAAGGCATAGATGCCTTTTTTCCATTCAACCATTGCTCCAGTGCCGTCCCACAAGAATTGCAGCATATATGTGGTGCCCAGCTCTTGTCCTGGTCTCCTATCTTGCAGCCAAAATACAAGTTGTAGGCTTTCTTAATCATTCCTGTTATCCTCCTTTTTTGTGAGATAAAAGTTATTTCACCGCAGATATAGCAGAAATGATCTGCTTTATTCACACAAGTTCGAGGCATTACTGAGTAGCCTATATAAGCATAAAACGAAATGTAAAGACGCTGTCGAACTACAATCAGCTACAGAT